GTGTTATATATATATATATATATATATTGTGTGGACTGTGTTTTCTATGGACTTTCCCTGCCCATTTGCTTAGCATATGAAATGTTGCTTTGGGTTCCATGTTTATAGCACTTAATTATGTCTAAGAAAATGGAATAACACAATTTCTTGATAAATAACAGAAGCAGCACAACTCTGAGGAAGAGTTCCAACACTGTTGATATCTGATTAGTGGTTGCTTATTTTAGTAGTCAGAGAATCCTATTTGTGTTTAAATTTTGCACAATATGATTCCAGATGCTGCATGTTTCTAGAACATGAGGATAAAACTAATATAGTAATTTATGACTTTAGGATAGTAAATAAGATTTTATAAATAATATTCCTTTTAATGTTGATGATATTGAAAACCCTAATTCTGAAAAAATATTAAAATTCTACAACAAAATCTATTGAAGTAAAAAATGCTGTAAAAGAAATGTTAAAAAAAACCTTAGGATAGGATAGTGTGCAGATTATTATGTTTCACACTGCCTAAATAGTTTTTATAATGTACCTACTACTCATGATTTTTTATATAGTTATTAAATACATTTCTTTAGAATGGGATAAAAAATATCAATTAGTCTGAAAATCATAAATGGCTTATTTAAGATAATCATCAAACATACATCAATTTATAAAGACAAAAAGATTGCTGTAATTATAAATAATTATATCATATTTGTTTTCACAATGAATTTCATATTAATTTGTCATAATTTATTAGTTTCCTTAACACAGGATCTCTCTTTCAACCAATAGCAAAGGAATGTTTTTGGGAGGCAGGGCAAGGAACAATAAATTCCAGTATTTGTTTTCTGGGAGTGGAAAACCCAGAATCTACTGTATCCCAATATGCAACCATATGATGGTAACTTATTTCAGTATGAAATTATGAGCAGTCAAAAAGACAGTTTTGGAGTATTTATATCACCTTATCAGCAGTGGTTACACACACACTAGATTATATATCTTTTTATTCTCAAATCAAGCTATGCAATCTTTCTTATTGTCTATTTGAGGTTAGAGGCTTTGATCTTGAATTTCTGATCTGGCAGAAGGCTACTGATGTAAATGCTATCACTACTGTTGCTGTCAGCACCAAACCTATTTTTGAGTACCATCACAACATTGTTGGGCTTAATATATGAATTTGCCTCAACAAGGGCTATCAATAAGTCCATCATGATTGCATTCACAGTGGCTGCATCAGTGGCAAGTTGAACTTTAATAGATGAATCTGCAGTCCACAGCAGAGGGAATGGGCAATCAAGGAATACATTAGACTTCTACTATAGTTTACTTAATATTCACAGGAATTATCTTTCGCTGTTATACATTGAAACAGGCTGTAACTTTCACGAAAAAAAATTTAATTGAAAATGCATCAATTTTCCATTACATAAATTTAGAAGAAAAGGTTTTTAGACGTCATTCTAAGCAACATTTTTCATACTATAAGCCTTTGAAATCATGCTGTGATGTGTTAGTAATCCACTTATTGAAAGCAATGAACTTGTCTGGGTATTGTTATGGCAGGTGCTGCAGGTACTCAACTGACTACAGCTTACATCTCCTGATTGTTTGCTGTTTCAGGATTACAAGTTATTATCTGCATATAGCATATTAAAAGCAGTTACTGAAATGGCTTGGCAGATATAAAATTACTTTCAATTTTTTAGTAGTATCAAACAATGAACTGTCACAACTTCATTATCTACCCCTCTCAAAATGTCTTTGTGGAAATGGATAAAATTAACCAGTCTTCTCAAACCCAGTGGCTTCCCAAACCCACAACAGTGTCATTTACATAGAGTTATGCTTCAGTAATGTTCTAAAGAATAAATAATATTTGCTTGTATATATATATATATATGTATATATGTTTAGGTTTCATTTATCACTCATAAAGACTTTTTATTTCACTAAAGCTATCGCTTGTGGAAACATACGTACCATGAAAACAGCGAAAGGTAATTCCATGCGAATAATAAGTAACTGACAGTATCTCACAGATTTTCTTTTCAATTTTATCTTTGGGGAAAAAGAAAAAAAATCTGTAAGATATAATTATTAAACAGTTGCCCCACTGTATAACACTGAATTAGCCACAATATCATATTATTATTCATACACCTTGATGGTTTATTAAGAAGGACTAAAAAAAAAACCAGAAATATTTTAACACATCACTATTATAGTAGTAGAAGTCAAGGTAATAATAGTGTTCAGCTGTGTGCTGAAGATTTGTTGAGCTTTGGTTTGAAAAGCAGGTGCAATGATGAACAAAGAAGTAGAAGAGCGATGTAGCAAAACCATTGGTTACACAACAAGAAGCACTGTTATTAACTATGGAGTTTTCTTCTGATGATGTGGTCAGTCATAACTTGTTCAGTTTCTGTCAAATTTCAAAACTGTGAAGTGTAATCATCATATCTCATCCTATACTACATCTCATATAAGTTACTCCAAAATTAGTTATATCCCAGAATCTTTTTATGGACTGGACAATCCCTGTCACTGAGGTGCCTCTGGTTGAGGGAGAGATCCTTTGTTAAATACATGCATGTTAGAAATACATACTTGATCTGAAAAAATGAGATGACAGTTAAATACTTGAACCTTTCTGCAAATACTTGCTTCTTATATGTTAGATTAAAATATGTTACTCTAATTGAACTTTATTTCCACATTTATGTAACTCGAGTTATCTAGAGCCACATGAAACAAAATTGGTACAAGTATTCTATATCTTAGTGGCATTAATGTGAAGAGGAAAGTTCAGTGTGCACACTTTTACATGGTTTAGTTGTTAAAATTGTATTTATTTTTTTAATTGTTTTCAAAATAATCTTTATTTCACAATTATTTGATACTAAGGGAAGCAATTCATGAGTTAGGTGCTTGTGGTACTGACTGTCTTGCAAAATAAATGTTGTCTTGCATGTTGTCTTTGTTTTATCACATCATTTTTTTACAATTGCATTTTAGATTAACTAGATAATGGCTTTAACTTTCTTAGTTTGCTGCATGGTTACTCTTCAGTCTGTTGAAAAAGGTCAAAGTTTCTGTGATAATTAAACCTAACAGCATTTTGAAGCATCCTACAAATTATAGATTTAGTTTAAGTTTGTATAAAGGTGTAGGTAAAAATTTAGAATGTCATTTGAAAAGGAATTAGGTTTTATTTAGAAAAATAGTTTTATATTCTATTAGTGCAGTTCTAATAAAAATTAGCTTCTGAATCAATAATTATTCATTTTAACGATAACGGATATTGATGAGGCCTTGGAATTTATTTGGCATAATAGTTACTTTATAAGTTGATATATTTTATATAAATGGATTAATAATTAGGAATTAGAGTTAATGTGAATAATAATTTCTTTGATAAGTTTACACATATATCTGTCAGGTTTAAAATATTTCCAAAATTATAAAGCTGGTCCTGTGAAAAATGGATAGAAATAAAAAAAGAACAATAGAATAATTATTCTCCCAAAACAGATTTATAAGCTGTATAATATCTTTATTAGATTAGTTTTTTAAATATGCTTCTTGTTATTAGTGTAATATTTTAATTATGCCTTATAATATCAAATTAGATTGATATGTATGCTCAAATTTCACTAAAAGTAATTTTTTAGAAATCTCACTAAATTTATTTATGTTGGTTTTTATTACCATTGCTAAATGTTTTCTCTTTTGGTCTAAAAAAATGTAATCTTTATGAATTTTTGGGTTTAAATTCTTCAGATATAATAAGATGTAACTAAAATTTGAAATTTAATTGAACAGATATAGTTTATAATAACTTTTATTTTTACTTTCATATTCCAGAAACTTGTAATTTAGGTATACCGATATATAAGAATTAAAGAATAAAAGCTTACAAGTAGAAAAACAAACGAACATAACAATATACTTTAAATTATTAATTTTTCTCCAAATTGCTGATTTTGTGACATGAGAGTAAATACATTATACAGTGTACAGTGATCCTGACAAAAACTGTAGATATACATTTCAGATATTCTAGAGGTTATGGTAATACAATATGCTAATGGTACAATGGACAAAAGTTTTTTATTCTTAATTTGAATATCACCCTGTTCTCTGACTTTTCAGAGTCTGAGTCAGATTGACATCATCAATACACAGACATATATTGAGTAAAAATACTTTTTATAACACATCTGACTTTATGAGTATAATATACTTGTACTTTTACTAAAAGTTTACCAAATTTTATATAGAAATATATAATAAGATCAGGAATTATCATTGACATTCCTTCTAGAATACTGGGTTGGTAAATTGTACACATCATATTTTTTGTTAGTTTAGAATTTCACCCCACAGCTATTCAAGGGCTATCTAAGCTAGCTGTCCCTAATTTTGGAGGGAAGATAATTAATACCACCCACCACCAATTTATAGGTTACTCTAAGTGGATGGTAGAATTTAACTGTCAATTTTGTAATACACCCATGACCCCAAAGTGTGAAGCATAATCTTTTTTGGCACTAATTGACTGAAAACAATAGCTTAATTCTACCCACCAATCAACTTGTATGTTACTCTAATCATAAAGTAAGATTTAACTATCATTTTTGAAATACACCCATGACCCGAAAGTGCAGAGTATTATTTTTTGGCACTAATGGACTGCAATTGATGGAATCTTGGATCTACATTTCAGCATGCTAAACATTGGTTATACACTATGCTGCTAAACCTCTCTATAATTAGACATCTTTACACAAAATACCTGAAGGGAAACTGTGGGTCACAGATTGAGAACCACTAAAATAGATAAATTCAACTTATGGAAACAATATTCTGACAAATATTTGATATATTGTGTTAAAGTATATATAATACACTGTAATCATAGTGTTGAAATGGTTGTTAATTTCAGATATTGCCTTTTTCATAGGGTGATAAAGGTTTTCAAGGCCTTATTGGATTAGATGGAATAAACGTAAGTTTTTAACTAGAATTTTGTAAATTTATTTTTTGATATCATATTCAGCAATGTGTACTATGTGGTATTCATGGAGGGTTGAACAAGTGCCTTTCTGATTGTAAAAATTAACTTTTGAGTTAAAAATGACTTTAGAGTTATACAGTTTTCAAGAACTTGAATTATAATAATACTTGGATCAGAAGTTCTTAAGAATTAAGAATTATATATTGATTAAAACAAACAAGTAACTTGTAAATTAATGAAGCCGGTTCTATATAACAAACTGACTAAATATACATAATGTCGTAAATTAATACATAAGAAAAATAAAACCTATAGTATTAAAATGCAGTGAATGATTAATTGTGTATCTTCACTGCAAATGAGATTTTTCAGCCATAATCTAATAATATTTTGCAAAATTTAACCAGTTTAAGAAACTTAAATCTGTCATATGTAGGCATACCATGTTTTTGCTACACCCTTGTATTAATTTAGCATTTTTACAAAGTTTTTCATTTATTCAGTTTATGTGTGTCTTTCACGAAGCATATTGGTGAAGAAAGTTTTTAAGTCTATTTCATTCTAACCATCCATTTTGCTGTGTTATTCACCTAAAATATCACTTTGTCTTCCTGTGGGAATGGTTTCCACAAGGCTGTACATATTATAAGTGTAGACAGCAACCTTCTTTACTGGCAGGCCTGGTGATATCTAGATGTTACAACCTTCTTGATGATCAAAGGGAATGGCTAACAGTCATGAGAGTGGCACAAGTTGTGTTTTGTCAGTGTGGAACAGGTTTCTAACAGAATATAGTCTGGAACAAGCCTAGAAGGAATAAACAGCCTACTTCAGTTAGATATCTTTCTCCAATAAAGACAATTGTCTGTCAAGCTAAATAAATACACACACAGTTGTTTGTGATTCTTAAACAAAGATTACTTTTTTCTGTGTGTTTGAAACTGTATGGAATATCTGTTTTCCACAAGCACAGTCAACTTCAGAAAAGTTAGATATACTTCATGATATATTTTCTGTCAGAACATTCTGTTATTCTTCAGATCCCATCTTTTCACTCTTGGAGGAAATTATTTTTACCTGATATTATCACTGATACTATAAAATACCAAATAATCTTCATGAGTATAAAAGTTAATAATAAAGAATAAAAGCAAATAAAAAGTTGGTTGTCATTATACAAAATGTACGAAACCATTAGTTTGCTCTTAGTATCCGCATATACTAATACAAGAAATATTAATATTCTTTGTAATAGTGTTGCAATAGTATTTATACAATGACAACATTTATTTTCTTTGCTAATTTTAATTGGGAAACCCATTTTCCACAAAACAGAAAAGACCAATTTGAAACCATTGGTAGGTTTATATTTAAGAATGATTTGATCAAAAATTCAAATGTTACTTTGGAAGTTCCCAAAAGTTGATACAAGGGTACATTATCCAACATAAGGAATATCTTATCTCCAATTATCAAGAACACAAAACAAATATTTCCACTTACAGGCAACCATGATGCATTAGTGTCTACTAAAGTCCAGTATACAACTTCTACATTCATTTGTATCAGATATTTTATTGATTTTTAACTTGATAATTTGAAATGGGTGGGTTGACCTCCAATAGAATTTGCAAGGAAAGAAGAGCCCCTAAATTTTATTTGGAAAATGTTTTTCCACAGACAAATTGTTATTAAATGTCTACCCATCAACAATTTTTTTAACAGAAAACAAACCACGTCTAGAGTTGATCTTATGCCAAAATCTGAATGTAGAGGATAAAACTTTTATATATACCCTGAGCCTTAGTACTGTAAAATCTTATAGAGTAATCATAATTTTAATCCTCCAACACCTTCATAAAAAAAATATTCCAGCCTAGACTCCAAATCATGTATAAGTAATGTTTGTTTTTGAATTTTGCAAAAAGCTACATGAGGGCTATCTGCGCTAGCCATCCCTAATTTAGTAGTATAAGGCTAGAGGGAAG